CCCAATAAGCTGCTGCATAGCGCATAGTTCTGCAGCACTTGCCTTATTTGGATTGACGCTTACATATACGCAGCAGTCTGATGCCGTTTGTTTCAATTTCTGGTGCACGTGTTACAAAGTAAATGAACGAGGTGGGGTGATGATGACTCTCCTCGAAAACGTGAAAGGAAAGCACGACAATCTTACTGACAGTGATAGCAAAAAGCGAGCATACCAGGGTTCGAACCTGGGTCCTTCAGTGCCGGAAACTGACGCGGTATCCACTCCGCTATATGCCCATGATACTTTGTGTACACCGCATATACATATTCCTGTGTTAGCAAATGGGGTCTTGCCTGTACCTTTGTCCAGTGCCCCCTTGTCCCTCCCTGCCTGCACTTGTCGACAATGTGTTCATTGTGCCAACTGGGGAAGTTGAGCAGGTTGATGGACCCTTGATTGACTTGGCAGATCAGCCAAGTTGAAACACACGCACCTCTGCTGGCCCAACCACAAGAGACGCGTTGAGTAATCATTCAAGTGGCACATGCTGTTGGCGCCACACCTCTGATCACCGCCAGCGGACTGCCTCGCCACAGGGTTGCACACTCACCTCACACAAGTGTCTCCACTCCCTCTGGTTTTGTTCTGGATCGCTGCTACTATTAGCCACTAGGTGTGTTTCAGCTTTAGTAGGTTGTGTTGGTCTGTCAAACCTCTCGCCCAGTCCTGCTCCGCTTGTTGCCACTGAGTCTTTTCCTTGCTAACATGTTCTTCCATTTTGCAATTCCTGCCACCCTTGCTATCTCACTCGCCCCTCTTTGTCGCGCCAGCTGTAATTGCTGCCAGGTCATTCTTATTTCTAGCCAGCTGTTCCTTGTCTCTTCCTTTTCCTCTGCACCAAAGGTGCTGCCATTGCCATGTTCGCTCTCCCTCCACTCCCAATTATTGTCAAAATCCCCCCAAAACTATGTATATACGACCGTTGTTGTGCTGGACTTCTGCTACTTCAATGTGTTGGGTCGGTTTGCGGCTCTGTTCAATTGTGGTAACGGATATTCCTTACCTTTGCGCTATCTGTCACCACCTGGAGCCTCTCACAGAGGAAGGCTGCAATGTGTGGCCTTGTCGCACAGCCTTCCTTGCAGGGCATCTACCACGTCGTTCATCACGTTGCTGCTTGAAGGAGCGCGTTGGTTTTGTTAATGTCACCCTCACATACATATGGTTCTGAACAGCTCATGCTCGCCTGGATCGAGGAAGCCTGTTGCTCCAGTCATGTACACTCAGGGCGACCTCAAACAACCCGGAGCGTGATGACGTTTGGTGGAAAAGACGCGCAAAATACGCGTGAAGTTGCGTCGCAATGATTGGCCACATGGGGTGCAAGACACGCAAGACATGGCTCACCTCTGATTAGCCTGGCAAGAGCTGCGGCAAGAAAGCATGATTTGACAAAAGGGAATCGCGTACACTGGTATGCAGGGTACACGGGGAGGGGAATGAAGGACACAAATGAGGTGGTGGAATACAGGAAGCGGGCGCCGCGCGTTTGCGCTCGCCTTACTTGTGCGGGGCTTTGCCCGAGCTATAGTGACCGCGATTTTCTTCTCTCGTTTCGTCACGTTCCAGTCACACTCTTCGCAATGACATCACTCCCCGTGTCACGTTGCGCCACTTCGCTTCAGCTCTCGCTTCCGCACTGCTCCCCTCCCATATGCTCACCTTAGTCGATGAAGCTGAATTGCTCTATGCGATGGATATCATAAATCATGAAACCGACGGCAGGCTGGTCCCGTCTCTCCTGCGGCGTTTTGGGTGGAGCCCGCGCAGCGAAGTGCTGTGCTGTGCTTCGTTCGACCGTTGGCTTGGGTGTTCCGTTGGCATCTCTTTCGCGCTGTCCTCTTCAGGCTGCGCGAGTGCTGCTTAAGCGAGCTCGTGAGCGGAGAAGCATGCAGCAGGATGCTTTCACGTTGCCTGAGCTGCAATGCCTTGTTCTCTGAGGTGACCCAAGCTCGAAATTCTTGCTCAATGTGTCCTTATCCTTCCCCTGCTGTAGATGGACTCGCTATTCGTGCGCCGCCGCCGCCGCCGCTATTACTACACTGCCGTTGTGCCTGCCAGGCCTAGCGTCGCGTCGCGTCCTGGTTATTTGCCGCGGGACTTTGCGCTGAGCAACGCGGAGCGACGAAGCCGCGTGAGCCTTCGCGGCGAGTGGCTACTCGATATCTCCACCTCAGCGGTATGAGGTGCGAGCTATGTTCTGAGCAGAGCACGCAGCTGACTTCGTTCCAGCGCAAGCATGCGTGGCTCCATCGGCTGTGCTGCTCACCGCTTTTGTTCATGATCGCTGCGACTTGGCCGGTGGCAGAACGCGCTATTGAATCGCTAGAACACCTTGTCGGCGAGCTCTATTTGATGCGGCCTGCGAATCATCACGACGTTTGACATTGATATGCTTCCCATGCAATTTGTGCACGTCGGCCACCGCGCAGCTGAAGGCGAGCAAAAGTCGGCTGAGCAGGCCGTCGCGGCCGCTGATGCCAGCTTCTCACCGACAGGCGTGCGTCAGCACGAGCTTGACAGTCCTCCCGTTCTCGAGGTTTTGCGTGAAGTGAGTATTTCTGCATGAGCGAGTTTTGCCAGGTGGGGACGAACGAGACAAAGCGCTCCGCCCATGCGTGCATCATGATGCACGCGATTTTGATTAGCGCTGACGCGTCCCACGTCTCAACAAACGTCATCCCGTGGTCCGCCCTATCGCGCGTCGACCTTGCGCAACCGTTCCACAGTAGACCCGCTTCATCTGAGCGCTCCTGGTCCGTTTCTGAGAAACCAAGCTTGCTCGAGGTCTAAAACTAGATTGTGACATGCGATGCACACGGTCACATTGTCGCCTGGTTTCTTAGATGAAAGCTTGTCGCGTTGCGGGAGACTGCGGGGAAGTTGAGTCGCTGGAAGCGCGCGCTAAGTGAAGGAAGTCTTTTTCGCCCATTTTTGCGGTCGTCAGCTGCTCCCTCCACGGCGCGCTCAATATGCACTTCTCGCTGTCCGTGGTCGAGCGGCAGCCCGTCGCGCTCACGCACGTCGCACGTTTGAGCTCAACGGCCTTGAACACATGATGGTCAAGCGCTGCAAGCGTAAGGACTATTCTGGGACGCGTTTGAAAGCACTCGCCGCCCATGGCCAACCAGCATGCCGCGCACAAGTGCTCCATCAAAGGCACCATCACTGAAGCGTGGACGGCCGCGTTTGTGTGCGTGAGCGCAGCTCGCTGCACAATGAGTTGCTCCCAGAGCTGGAAAAGCGGTCCGGTTAGCGACATTCAGTTTGCTCCGTCCCGTCCGTAGTCAACTTGATCCAGCTCGACAGTAGGAAGGCGAGCAAAAGCGGGAGAAGTAGGCGTGTCGGGACAGCTCCAACGCGCGGTACTGACTTGTCGCGACCCTTTCTCTCATGTCCCTCCATGTAACGCGGATCCGAAGCACAGTCTCAGTCAGCGATGCTGCACCTGAACCGAGTTCCGTGTGTTCCACTTCATAAATCATGCAGTTACCTGAATCGCGCGTCCACAACGCATCCGTTGCGCTGAGTGATCGCTGCGAGAGGGCAGTTGGGCAAAGCCCCGCACAGTTGACACCCGAACGGAGCGAGCGGTGAAGGCACCGGCAACGGCAGCCATTCTGGCTGTTGCGCGAGGCACGTGAGCATTGGCGACGCAATTACGTCACAAAGGCTGCGGCCTGAACGAGAGGCCCCTGAGCGCAAACGCGCGGCGCCCGCTTCCTGTATTCCACCACCTCATTTGTGTCCTTCATTCCCCTCCCCGTGTACCCTGCATACCAGTGTACGCGATTCCCTTTTGTCAAATCATGCTTTCTTGCCGCAGCTCTTGCCAGGCTAATCAGAGGTGAGCCATGTCTTGCGTGTCTTGCACCCCATGTGGCCAATCATTGCGACGCAACTTCACGCGTATTTTGCGCGTCTTTTCCACCAAACGTCATCACGCTCCGGGTTGTTTGAGGTCGCCCTGAGTGTACATGACTGGAGCAACAGGCTTCCTCGATCCAGGCGAGCATGAGCTGTTCAGAACCATATGTATGTGAGGGTGACATTAACAAAACCAACGCGCTCCTTCAAGCAGCAACGTGATGAACGACGTGGTAGATGCCCTGCAAGGAAGGCTGTGCGACAAGGCCACACATTGCAGCCTTCCTCTGTGAGAGGCTCCAGGTGGTGACAGATAGCGCAAAGGTAAGGAATATCCGTTACCACAATTGAACAGAGCCGCAAACCGACCCAACACATTGAAGTAGCAGAAGTCCAGCACAACAACGGTCGTATATACATAGTTTTGGGGGGATTTTGACAATAATTGGGAGTGGAGGGAGAGCGAACATGGCAATGGCAGCACCTTTGGTGCAGAGGAAAAGGAAGAGACAAGGAACAGCTGGCTAGAAATAAGAATGACCTGGCAGCAATTACAGCTGGCGCGACAAAGAGGGGCGAGTGAGATAGCAAGGGTGGCAGGAATTGCAAAATGGAAGAACATGTTAGCAAGGAAAAGACTCAGTGGCAACAAGCGGAGCAGGACTGGGCGAGAGGTTTGACAGACCAACACAACCTACTAAAGCTGAAACACACCTAGTGGCTAATAGTAGCAGCGATCCAGAACAAAACCAGAGGGAGTGGAGACACTTGTGTGAGGTGAGTGTGCAACCCTGTGGCGAGGCAGTCCGCTGGCGGTGATCAGAGGTGTGGCGCCAACAGCATGTGCCACTTGAATGATTACTCAACGCGTCTCTTGTGGTTGGGCCAGCAGAGGTGCGTGTGTTTCAACTTGGCTGATCTGCCAAGTCAATCAAGGGTCCATCAACCTGCTCAACTTCCCCAGTTGGCACAATGAACACATTGTCGACAAGTGCAGGCAGGGAGGGACAAGGGGGCACTGGACAAAGGTACAGGCAAGACCCCATTTGCTAACACAGGAATATGTATATGCGGTGTACACAAAGTATCATGGGCATATAGCGGAGTGGATACCGCGTCAGTTTCCGGCACTGAAGGACCCAGGTTCGAACCCTGGTATGCTCGCTTTTTGCTATCACTGTCAGTAAGATTGTCGTGCTTTCCTTTCACGTTTTCGAGGAGAGTCATCATCACCCCACCTCGTTCATTTACTTTGTAACACGTGCACCAGAAATTGAAACAAACGGCATCAGACTGCTGCGTATATGTAAGCGTCAATCCAAATAAGGCAAGTGCTGCAGAACTATGCGCTATGCAGCAGCTTATTGGGGCTTTGGCGTGTTTGTTGAGCCAGTGCGCGTTGACTGGTATTGATTGGAAGCCATTATAGGTGTCAAGTCCCAAGGGGAGTCGACCTGGTGTTGATGCAGAGCAGTAGATGAGGTGAGGATGCAGCTAGTCAGGGACGTGTATTCCTGCCTTTGGTCCCAAACCAGGGTGGGGTGAGGGGAGCGAGAATGACAACAGGGGGAACAGCGCTGCGGGGGCGCGGTGGGCCAGAGCAACAGTGCAGGCAATCACACGCAAAATCAAGTGGGCAGTTGCCACCCGCTCCCTGCTCAACGCGTAGCTTGACGCGTAACAATAGGGCGTACCAACAGCTAAGACGCCATTGCAATAGTTTTTTTTTTAGATAAATACATGGAGACTAGCCCCCTCCCCTCTCCTCCAAGATCTCTGCTGTTTGGTGTACCCATCAGCAGCAAGCCCCAAAAGTCCAAAGTAGGCTATTAGGACTCCTCGCTCCTCACTTGATGCGCATGAGCCTCACGCCCCCAAAGTAACTGTGTGTGATCCAACCTGGACGCTCCTCCCTTGGGCAGTCTGGTTTGCTCTCTGTAACGCTGAGGCACATGTCTGCTTTATGGGGGGGGGGGGGCTCTGACCTTCCTGCATGAAGTTAAAAGCCATCAGGATTAACAATAGATGTGCGGGAGTGACGCGTCCTTGGCGCAAAGTGGAGGCGGCCTAGCAAAAAGGAGCGCTGTTGACGCGGCCATGTGAGTGGCGTTGGTCCTTTATGACTATTACAGAAATCCGTACAATGCGGTCTCTGTTGCTTCGTGAATACTGCATATCATAAAACGATGTTTGTCACTAGTCAAGCGTGGTGTGGTTCTGCCAGTCCTTGAGTGGCTGCAGGACCAACACATGCTGCCGCCCCACATCCTATAACAAAAAATTGACAGAACTTAGGCCTCAACTGCAATGTTGTCACTGTTAGTCAGCTACCATTGGGAACCGCTGGTGCTATCACTGCGACATCAGAAAAAGAGTCAGGAAAGCGCAAATACCCTGCATTGGATAGCGTTTGGCATTGGTGCTGGTTAGTCGTCATTCTAAGAATAAATTGAATTGCGGCGCACCTAAGGTGTGAAGAACAAAAACCTGGGGTTGTAGCTCAGCGGTAGAGCGGTCGACTGCAGATCGACAGGTCCCGAGATCAATCCTCGGCGGCCCCTTTTTTGACTCCTATTTGAGCGATTCCAACGATAGCATATTTTACGGTTTTCTCCAAGACACAGAGACCTTCGGAGCTTGTGCAGTCAATTTCTTGTGGTTTGCGCCGTGGGATTACAGCCCAACATCTCTGTACTTGACAGCGGCCAGACCTTGTTGAACATAAATTGGTCACGCGGATAATACTGTAAATGGCGAGGTCGAGAAAGTGTCATTTAGGTGTAAGGTCAATTTCAAGATTTGGAAAAGAACTACGCTCAACCAGTGGGACTATGTGGGCCACTTGGCACACAAACTCCCACATATGAGTGACGCGGACAATAATGGTAGTGGCAGCCTCCAAGTTAGACAAGCCCCCCATCAGGTAAGTAATTAAATTGTCACGTTGGCCCAACTGGATGACACTTGCCCAACCTCGCTGGAGTCAGACACGTCTTGCAGTTGGACCAGCAACCCTGCCTATGTATATACATTGAAGTCATTCAAGCCGCACAACTCTCATCTCAGCCCAAGGTCACAACCATGGCTTTGGTCTTCACCATGGTCACAGCGTCTTTGTCTTTCCCGTCCATCCCCTCTGGATCAGATTTTGCAGTACATGAAAGAAAATGATGGTTATTCGTGTTCTGAAGCTGAACCTGGCCTAAAAAGCCCGCAGATTCCAATGTATGGTATCAAGCAGTGCAAGTTTGATGATGCGGCCCACCAGGGCAGAACTTGGAAAAGCATAGAATAGGGTACAGTAAATTCACGATTGAATCTCCAGGGTGGACAATCTCCCAATTTTTTGCGTGTACTCAGAGTAAATTTTTTATAGCCTTTTGGGTAGCTCTGTGGAGGCAGTTATACAACGTCTTTGAGTGTCAAACCAACCTGGCACAACCTTACCACACATCACTTTAGGCACATCATAGCTCACCTCAATGGGGGAGATCTAGGTACTGCAATCGTTGTTAAGTCCACCCGCTCTCCAAATACATTGTGTTTTGCTGTTTCCCAACCATGAGCACTAATTGGCGCGCCTCTCTTGCCTGCAGCAGCAATTGCTGGCCACCACGCAGCAATTGCTGCACCACCCTGTTCTTGGGCAGCATCTGCTCAGTTATTGCCGCTTGCGACCAAAGTGCGACGCGGCGAGCTCGCGGGGCTAACCTCGCAGCCGATCTCGCAGCGAACTCACCGCTCATTCCTCTGCTCGGCCGCCCGCCTGGAAAAAAATGCTGAGCACCGCTCCACCGCTCGCGCGCTTCCCGCTCACCTCGCCTCCCTCCCTCGCCCGCATGTTCACCTCCCTCGTCGCTCAGCAGAAAATTAATAAACGCAGCTCTATGCAAAGTAAATATCTTGACCCAACCCTGCTGGCACTCCCTCAGCACCTCAATTGAAGGTCGCCCTCTGCTCACGCAGGCGCCAGCTGCGCGGCAATGGTCCCAATCTACAACAGGGGCCGCCTATGACAGGGGCGCTGACGCATGGATGGAGATAATGTTGGGTGAAGGGGAACGTGCGCAGGAGTAGTTGATCGTGGTTGGGGGCCCGCGCTCGCGGCCAAGAGAATGTCAGGCAATGCGGCGCGCTTGGGCGTGACAATGCGCTCACGTACGAAGACCACACTGGGCGTCACCGCGCGCTCACGGACAAAGGTGATGCCCTTGTTGTCGCTTGACTCGTCCGCGTTGTCGACGGCCGCAGCCTCTCGCGCAGGCGGGTCGTTTGGCTGCGACGCGACCGCTGCGCGTCGTCACGCTGGGCCAGACTCGTCCGCGTTGTTGACCGCAGCGGCCTCACGCGCAGCAGTTGCCGCCCAACGACGCGACCGCTGCGCGTCGCCACGCTGGGCCAGCGGCAGCGCGCCTCAAACGCCGTACAGGCCCGCGTGTTACTTTATGCTTCTGAGGCCGTGTGCGATCTCGGTCTTGTTGTAGGTGAGGAAGAAGAACTGGTCCAGCGTGGTGAAGATTGTGTTCTTGCCCGCGTGCTCAGACACAGCCCCCAAACAGCAACAAGCCGAGGCGGGCTTGCCAAACTCTTCGCCATCAAGCGGATCAACATCACGACCATCGCCGTTGTTGAGGCCTGGAAGCGGGCGGAACATACGCCGCGTTAACGCGTAGTTGCTTGAGGGAGCGGTATCTGTGGTTTGTTCGCCGCTGGCGCAACTCAGCGACGCAAGAGTGCGTGCGTTGTTAAACGAGAGCGAAAGGTACAACGAGCTTGTTGTCGTCAAGGTACACGACGCGAAACGCGAATGTAAGCCGCGCCGAGGCTGACGCAAGGAGGAAGCGTGAGATCGCGCCGTTTGGAGTAAGCGCGGGCAAAGTTGAGCCCACGGGCGGCCTCGGCACAAAGCACGCCAGTTGCGTAACAAACTCGGCCTCACTGTCAACAGCGATCCATGAGCAGGCATGGATGCGCGCGTCTTGGCTGTTTGGGTCAATGGCGAAGCGAGGCAGTGGCGAATCCGCGGGAGGAACGTAGCGCCAATCAGAGGCAGCGGAGGACACTGTGTGGAAGCGACAAGTTATATTACGGCTGCCCCCAAACCAGTGTTATGCTCCGAGGGCGGAGGGTGGCCGCAACAAACTAGGAGAGCTGGCAAAGTCAGCCACTCAGCGGTGCGGGGGGCGGGGGCCCGCTCAGGCGAATGTCGTAAATATGCGATGCATGGGTTTAAAATCGATTTATTGACACGCTGCTGGGAGAGAGAGAACACGCGAGCACTTGGGCTTTGGCGGAGGAGAGTGGCCACGACGCGTCGCCGGCAGCGGGGTGAGGTGGAAATCAAGCCCATGTGAGCGAGATCAGCTGCGGGGTGGGCCCACCTGGCGCATTTTGGCTGCAAACGACAATAGTGACAGTGGCCTGCGTGTGGGTTGTATTAGGAGCAACATGCACTGGTTGGGCAACTCTTGGATAGTTCATTCACAGACAATCCGCAGGCAATTGGCAGACAGTAGAAACTAACAGTGACTGTGTCTGAGGTAGTGCATTTCCAGTCCACTCGGGGCATCTTGTTGTGCATTGTTCCTGTTGCACACACCATGGAATACTGGACTGCAGAGCGTGCGTCTTGATAGCGGCGGCCCCCGTTCCTATATGCACTATGTTTCCGCATGAAACACACTCACAAATAAAATTGGCGACCAGTAGCGTTAGGAACTGTTCCCCTCCGTGCTGGGCTTTCAACCCCATCCCTCCCACCCCACCCCACCCCACCCCACCCCACCCCACCCCACCCCACCCCACCCCACCCCACCCTCAACTCACCCAACCTCAACTCACCCTCAACTCACCCTCAACCTCAACTCAACCTCAACCCAAACCTCAACTCAACCTCAACCCAAACCTCAACTCAACCTCAACCCAAACCTCAACTCAACTCAATCCACCAGCGCGTCAATGAGTGATACATGCGCTGCGGCGTTGTGGTTTATGCGTCGTTTGCGAGAGAACGCAGGATCAGGGAGGGATCTGAGAGGCGATCAAATCGAGCAAGGAGAGTAAGTATCACACAATAGGCGCGTCGGTTCAGCAGAGCGTCGTGATGCGGGACACGGGATATGGCGGCGAGACGACAAGCTTGCGAATCCTTACTGCGTTGCAGGGATAACACGTGCGCAGCAAATGCTCATTGAGCGACGTGGAGGGGCCAGCGGAGTTGGCGTGAAAGGAGCCCAATGCAGCCACGCTCATAGGGATCAACGCGGCCGCGATGGCCTGCTCATTGTTCGTCTGCAGAAAGTGGGGGCGGGGAACCGCATTGCGGGGGTTGACCTCAAAGTTGCCAAGCATCTGCGCGAGCGCAATGGCAAAGAGCTCAAGCTACGTCGCGTTGTCAACCAAGGCGGCGAATCCGATGCAATCACCGTCCACAATTGTGAACATGGGCGGCTTCTGCACCAAGTTGATGTGCTTCTCAATCGTCTTCGCGGCCTCTTTTGAGGAAAACGAGCGCCTTCTTTGAGATGGTGACGGCGGGCACGCCGTCCATGGCGCGGAACGCGGCGCAAGGGACGGCGAGTCCAGTGGACCGCCAATCGCAACCAGATGCGCCGTAGCACGCTTTTGGCTGATCGAGACGGGCGTGTGCCACATCGGAGCCCCACACAAAGCGATTGGTGACAAGACCCACTGCACGGCCATCAGAATCGTCGCGAAATCGCTGCTCCTTCAACTCGAGCTTGGGCAGCGGGAGCGGGAAGGTCTCGGCCAGTCCGCAGTGGCGGACATGGGGCAGTAGGCCAGCGGTGCACCGCGCGGCGCGACGAGCACGTTGGTTGGCGCCGCGCCGCGCAAGAGAAGCGACAAAATCCACGATCTCGCCCCGCTGGAGCGGCCAGGCGGGTGTCAGTGGCTGCCGAACATGATCGTCGCGGCCTTCTGCCTCTGCTTTGAAAGCCCAAGCGCGAGCGAACCTTCAGCCTCGCAAGGAACTCGCAGCGCTTGTGCGAGGCAAGCGGCTAGACTCACATGCAGGTAGTAGCCGGTGCGAAGAGCGTGTATTGACGGGCGGTGCGCGCGGTTGCTCATGCGCAGGTTCTTCCTTCCCATCGGCCAATGGCTCCAGGTCGCTTTGGCTCAGCAACGACGGCTGCTCCACACGCAACAGCACTCGCGCCTGCAGGGTGTTGCGCCTCCAGCACTGGTTCCACACCCTAGCTGCCGTCTTGCCAGTTGTAACGGAGCGCCAGGGGAGGGCCGAATACACAATGACTAGCGAACGAGGATGTATGTGGTTGAACAGCAGGGAGCGAGAACAGAGTGCGAGCGAGCGGCGGCTCAACAATCCAAGACGTCACGGCGCACGTGCCAAACGCGCACGTGACACTATCCCCCCCCCCTCCCCTCCTGCGGCGAGGGTCGGGGGCCAACGGGTGCGCGACGTGGAACTCGGCGAGCATCTCGAGGTGCTTGAGGTTCGCGTACGGCTCCCACGTGTTGTCAGTCTTGGGGCAGCCGTGCCACTTGACCAGGTACTTGACGCTGTGACCCGAAGCCGACC